AAGTAATTGACTCAAAGGCAAGAATAAATCCTTTCTTACCTATTCCCCACTTATATTTTTAACAGCATAGCCGTCAAAACACAGCAAATCAATTTTTCCCCCTTACTGTCTCCACTCTGCCTTTTCAGAATATTTTTAGTTTCTCTGATTAAAAATTTACCTCTTAAGTACACTGAGGACACAGTGCATGTCTTGATTACAATTTTGTATAACTTTTTCAGCCTACCTATGTATCTTCCTTGAAAAGAAAGATGTGGAGCCATGTCTTTCCTTACTTCCATTATCTTTCTAACAAAACAGAAATATTAGTAATTAACTTTGAAAGACCAATAGGAAAATAACCTCACAGCAAAATGCAGAAAATACATTTTCAGAATGAACATGTGAGGCCATCACATGTGATGGGATTACACAAGATACTTTACACAAGAGAAACATGGCATGCTACACTGAAAAACACACTTGCAGGTCTTGCCCAAAGCAAAGACAGACAACCTCAGCATTTCTGTATTCTGTCTTTGGTGTTGCATTGTAGGGGACAAGTTCTCACCCCTGAACTCTTATCTCTCTCTGTACTCTTCATCAGGGACAATGTGGGTCACAAATGTCTTGTGCCACTTCTATCACATATTCTACCATGTGTGATTAACCAGTACTTCCTCTATTACTTTGTCCAGATATGCTTTAATTACCATCCCCAAAATTCTACATGTGTGCAGCCACAGTACTTATCTGAATGTCACCAAAACGTAAAACTCTATGAATGAAGGAATGTAAATCCCTCTTCCTGGGATTCTCTGCATTGATCTGCTTATTCATAGCAGGCAGAGACCCTTCTACCTTTTGACTGCCATTCAGCCACCCTTTCTTTTTTCCTGAGAAATCTTTTTACTATCCAAAACTGGAGAAGTCTTGACTACTGAGAAAGAGATTACTTTCTAATTCAATTTCTGGAGGTCATTCATATTGATTAGACAGCTTAGACAAGTTGAGTAGTAGAAGGCCTAAACTTCAAGATATGGAGTATAAAACAGCCATTGCAAAAAGTAAGGGAAACACCCCTTTCTTTTCTTCTTTTAGTATCAATATAGTCCAAAACATTACTTTTTTTTTTTTTTTTTGCAAATGTTTGTTCACTAAAATGTTCCAAGGGGGAAAATGTCAGCTACAAATCCTCACTCATTGTGTATTTGCACAGCAATGTTTAAAGGTCCTTAAAGATCTCCAAGGATTTGAAAGAAATAATTCAGTCAGGTAGCAAAAACAGTGCCACTGCCGTTGGTGTCTGGTTACATGGCTCATGTGGCATCTGACAACTCCAGGCAAGTCACAGTGAACACACTTCACACATCATGCATGGAGTAATATATTCCACTATCCAAATCTATGAAAATCTGTTTTAAGCTAATGCATCAAGCAAAAATAGCTTCAATACACAGGGTGGACTGTGGAAAACATTTTGCTCACTGCAAAGAGACACTTGTTCTCTGCTTGTCTTGCAGATGGCCTGCCCCTGTTCTTGCCAAAACCACCACAGTTTTACTCAGTTTCCTTCGCACTTAGAAAAGTCACATCTTTTTCCTCACATATGCTCGGTGATTCTTTATATACCTGAGTAACAGGTGTGTTACAGCCGTGTTTTGCATTATTCATCTTGGATGAAGTTAAACCTTGACTGTGTGACACATCATACATTACTCAGTTTACCTCAATACTGTGTTTTGATTTTGCTCAGTTAAATAAAGATACATTTAGGCTGGAAAAGTTCTTAATTACCCCAACACAAAAACTTGGCATTCTCCTAAATTTGTGCTTTTCAGCAATGAGACTCCTTTCTGCTGTATCTTTAAATTACTAGCACTTCCCTAAAAGTTGTCTCGATACTATTACCTTACAAAGCAGGTAATCGAGATTGACTTGTATTCAGGCATCTCTTCCTTGCTTAAACAATTAATTGTCCCGTGCTTTTTCCTGCCCCCACATTCCTTTTCCCTGTAGAGAAATACTAATACACACCATACTGCAGTGGACTGCAGAATGGGTATCAGTCCAAAGCCCAGTAAAATCTTGAAAGGTTTCTGAACTACAGAAAAGGCAACTACATAGTACTACACAGGCCACCTCTGTTAAAGATCCTAATTTAAAGACCTCTTTTTGTGTTATAAATTAGTTTTATTTGTGTAACATTTTCTATAATCAGATCTTTATAGTCCAATAACTAAGAAAAGCAGTTTAAGAATGAAAATAAGACTACAAAATGTCCTAATTCCTCATGAAACTGGTATTTTTAAAGGATTAAAAAAATCTGAATTTTAAATTCTAGAAGTGTTTGAATACAAGCATGAACTTAATAAGCTGCTTGTAAGTAATTAACATTCAAAACATCAGCATTGCAGTTTTTCCAGTCCTAGACACTTTTCTCCCATCCTCCACAGCAGATTCACTAAAAATTCAAGATAATGATTACAAGTACCTAGATCTGTAACATACAGATCCATAGCAACGCTGAGGATCTCTTATGTTAATTTCCATGCCCAGAGGCTTTTCTGCAACACTGAATTAAAGAAGCCACTGTATCATTCCCATAACAAGATGATTATCTAGGAATTAAGACTAAGTAGAAAACTCTTTTCAAAATGTCAATCTTCCAAGGCCTTTAAAAATCAAACAAAATTACTTATGTGGCTTACATCATCAATTATCAAAAGTTACACATCCGAACACATCCTGTTCTAAAAAGAAAGGTAAAGTAACCATTATGTTTTAGTCTTCATTTATGATTCCTTGTTAATGCACTAGATAATCTCATTGGAATTACTGAATTTTAATGGGACATTTGAAAATTTTTTTTTACTGGTGTTGCAGGCAAAAAAAACAAAAGGACTACAACATCACTTATCCACAATCCAATAGTGTCACCTTGCAAATTCTTCAGATGTAAAGGTGAGAAATTTTTCCTCCTTATAGTGTCAAAACATATTTGGATGTTTGCTGAGTGAGGCTTGAACTGTTTAGAGAACAAAACTAGTAAAGGTCCTAAATCTGCCTGACAATTCTCTGTGAGCAATCAACCTTCCCATATACTTGCAGAAATCACAGAGGGAACCAGAGGTGTATTCCTTGAGGAGGAACAACTGTCATCCCTGGAATATGTTCTGCATGTGTCAAAGCATATCAAAGGAGAAAACATGCATAGTAGAAAACCAGAGTAGTGAATCCTGTCCCTACCTCACCACTCTACTAGTATGGAAGGCAATATTCCCAGCAAAGAAGAGAAGCACAACCTGTGAGTTGAGCCTGACTGATGCAGTGCTGCTGGCAGGCTGTCACAGTGTATGTGGATTTCCCCAGTAAGATGCTGAGAGTAATCACAGAATAATACTGCCACTGTTTGAGGAAGCAGGGAACAAGATTTCTCCAAACTTTCAGACTTGGAAGAGCTGCTTGCACTACACATAGGATTTTCCCCTAGGAGATGATATAACAATGAAGATAATTGCTGGTTTGGTATCACAGAGGAGAATGTAGAGAAAAAGTGGCAATGAGCACTGAAGTGTTACACATACAATAAATTTTTGGCATGAATGAATGGAGGGACCAGTTCCAGAAAGGGGTTCAACAACCCAGTTTTACCAAGAAATGTTGATTGTGCTGTATCAGAACCATCATCAGCAGGATCTGTGTGCAGAGTCTTCAATGTCTACCTACTTGTGCTAACTGATAATACAGTGCACTCCAAGTGACAATAAGAAATTACCCACATGTGCAATAAACTTGTTTCTCAATTTCCCTGAAAGATATAATCTGTTCTTTACAATGGAAAGTACTCATTATTTTACCCTAACCTGTATTCCTCTTCTGCACACACCATCTTGACTAAAGGGTTAAGATCCTTTTGCATAATTTGCATGTGAGAAAGACTCAAGAATTAATGACTCCAAGCTTTAAGATGCCCACACAAATTTAATTTCCACTTCCTTTTCTTCATACAACACAGGCTCATACAACACTACACAAAAAGGGTAAAGAGGAAATAACCCTCAAAAAATAAACATCCCCTGAAACATCATGAAAACTAGGCCATAGAACAATCTATTCATCTGGCCTGCATCACATATCAAATTGAAAAGAACAACAGAGTTAAATACTTGGATGTAGAAAGCAGAAAAAAAATCTATAGGTGTTGGAGAACAATATGAAGTATTTTCCTGTTATTATCTGCCTTCCTACAGCACTTGAAAAAGTCTCAAGACAAATTATTTTAAACCTCAGTTTTAGAAAGCTAAATACCCAGCAGCTTTTCTACTTCTTGATTTGGAAACACCAAATTGAAAACAGTACATATGTAATAGCTGATGCTTGCCTGGTTTTGAGGCAACTTTTATATACCAGTTGGACAAATACCCTGTGCACTCCCTGGTCATGTCAGTACTGCTATACCCATATGGTGTTCTGAAACCTGAGCGATTGTTCAACAGCATATAAGTAAGTGTCAGAAAGAAATGAGCAAGGTCTTTTTTTTTCTTCCAGTTGAACAACAATAATAGCATTCTGCAACAAGCCGTTATTAGCACTGACATTATAGTAAAGGTCTACTTGTGTGTCAGGACTAGAAGAAGAAAGGAAGAGAACAAGGAGGCAAACTTCATTCTCTTAGCAGAGAGCAGGACTAGAATGTCAGACACACTACGGACAGGAGTACCATGCACTGCCAGATGTACTGAGGAAGGCAGTTGTTCACTGCTGCTATCAAAACCTGAGCACAAAGCATTGGGGTAGTCTGAATATCAGAAGCTCAGTACTAGTGGAAAACTGAAAAATAGGTAGTATTTCTTTTAAGTAAAAAGTTGGGGTTTTTTTGCTGAGGAACAGTTTTGGAGCTAAAGAATGAAATCTGCAAATATTGTAAGAATCAAGAACTTCTTGGTATAGTGAACTAAAATATTCACAAAGTATTTATACTATGACCACAGGAAAAAGCTGTTAAAATTTTCACTTACTTTGGATGGACAAATTCATCCAGTAGGACAACCTTTTCTATCAAGTCTCCACCAATGGTTCGAACCAAATCATAGAAATCATTCTGAGAGTACGTCTCAGAAGGCAGCCAGAAGGAGATGTCATTGATCAAAGGTGGATATCGGCTGAGTGGCTGAAAGAAATTTAAAAACATACCTTTATACATGGTTGGACTTGATAACTATACCTACAGCTGTTCTGAGCTTACCTAACACACAAAGTACACAGTTTAGAGGCTTTCTGAAATGGTCTTTGAAGGGCAAACTGACCTCATAAACAACTGAGACAGAAGATTTTATACTAGGAAACATCTTTTAAAGATCCCCTCATAACAACTTTGGCTTATTCATTCACAAGAAAAATCTTGGTTTTGTTTGATAAAATCAGTGCTTATGACCCTGAACACACTTTTGCAACAGAGCTGCTTAGAAGGAAGAGATAATGTCAGGTGGTTTTTCACTGGGTAGAATTGCACATTTTAAAAGCATTTTCCAGACTTTTTGCAGATTCAAAACTTCTTATCACATTCAGGTATAAAATTTATATGCATTTTATAGGATTCTTATATTCCACAACATATTTATTATTTTTACTGTCAAATTTTTAACCAAATCTTATAAATAGGCACCTTCTTATTACAATGTTTTAATAAGAAACACACTTTGGCTTAAAAAGACGGATCAGTTCACTTTCTGGTGTTTTTTGTAGACATCCAAACACCTACAACAACACAAAAGTATGGCTGTTAACATAGTTATTCATTCCACAACTACCAGAACAGGCTTTAAACACAAAGGGGAATCTTTGCTGCATACACAGAGTGGGCAGACAGTGTAACTTGTTATTTGTAAAAATGGGAAGAGAAAAGAGAAAGGAAACCAGATAATTAACTTTTCAGTTTTGATGAAACTTCCCAGGACTCTGTGGGTTTCAGACCTCACCTGTGGTGAGAAGTTTCGCCCTTTGAAGAATAGAAAATGGTAACATTCTCCTTTCATAACCTCTAGGTTATACAGTATCTTACTTCTGCTTTGCATTAATGCCCTGCAGTTGAAAAAAGTACTTTTGCACAAGATTGTTGGAGTCTGCAGAAGAAAACATCTATTTTATTATTTTCTTTATATGTACAAGAGATTTCATGTGTACACCCTGGTCTATACAATATAATATCTCACTCAAAATGTATTCCATGGCTGGGAATGTTTTATGATGGAGCAGTGGAAACTTAAGTGAGCACCTGCTAAAGCAATAAACCTGTTAATAAGGCAAGTTTACAGCATTCTGATTTACTCAAATACTATTCTGTAGAATGAAACTAGTCAATAAATGTCTGATAAGGAATACAGTCCAAGTTTTAAATTAATAACACCCCCAGCAAATAAAATTGTGAATCGCAAATGATTACTGAACTTGTTAAATTAATAAACTTGTCAAATGAATTCATATCCTGTACATCAGATTAAAAAAAGGAAACTTGCACAACAAATCCATTGCAAAAGAGCTTTTGATATAACACTAATGAATGAAATGCAAATATCTCTGCTATACAAAAATCACAGCTGCAAATGCTGGAGATGCTCCTCGGATGACAATCTGATACATGTGTTAGTGCAAATAAAGTTATAATTCTGCAGTAGACCCCTATATTCTCACCTCATTCCTATCTAGCACTTTATTTACCATTGCTATAGTTCAGGAATATACTAAACACCTTTCAAAGCTTGGTGGGACTAATACAAAACTCACTGAACTCACAGTTCAAGACATTTAATCATCCAACCAGAATATGTGGCTCATGAGCCTTAGTATGATGAAGGCACCTACTTTCATTCACAGAGGTACAAGGACAATGAGGAAAATTAAGTACATGTTCAGGTAACTCAGAAATGTCCTGAGCTTGTTTTGGCAAGAATTAATTGTCTTCACAGGGGCTAGCATGGGGCTGTGTTTTTTATTTGTGCTGTACACCGGGTTGGTAACAGAGATGCTTTTGTTACTGCTGGACTGTATCTGCACAGAGTCAAAACCTTTTCTGCTTTCTGTAATGCCACACTGATGAGAAAGATGGGGAATTTGGGAGGAGACACAGCTGGGACAGGTGACCCCAAGTGACCAAAGGGAAATATTCTAGACCATATTACATCCTGCTCAGTATAAAAAGTGGAAAGGAGAGGGAAGGGGGAATATGTGGAGTGATGATGTTTGTTTTCCCAGGTAGCTATCACATGTGATGGGGCCCTGCTCCCCTGGAGATGGCATGCCCATGGGAAGCAGGGAATTAATTTCTTGTGTTTGCAGCTTTTTCTTTCCACTGTCTCTAGTGTGGATACAGAATTTTTGTAATTTTGTGTGTGTATGCTTTGTGTGTTGCAAAGACTGGAAGGACAAATGTTTAAAACATAACATAAGCATAACTTTTTATTATTAGCTACTAACCTTTTCTCAGAGCCTTGTAATACAGAAAAATCTTTTATGGTAAAAGGCAAGGCAATAATCCCATATTATATTGTCCCTTCACCACCTGGCTGCAGTCAATATCATTGCAGTAAGTCTTATATCAACACTAAAGTTAGTATAAGGATAAAATTCCTAGTTCTCAAATGTATTGATCTGTTTGTTGTAGAGCTCCATGAGTCACATAATAGTTTATTAGCTACACGTAAAATGTGAATAGGCTACTAAAGTGTCTCCAATTGGCAAGCCAAAATGCAGTTCCTAAATTTGTATTCAGGAACTCTAGCAAATACATACTGTAGTCCAACAGATCACTTTGCCATTCTTTGATCCTTTCTAAACTCTCCTGCTCTTTAACAGCAGACTGGTCCAAAGTATTTTGACTGATCCTTTTTCAAGTTCAAGGCAAATACCAACCCTGGAAACCATTTTCTTATGAATTTACAGACATTTCAAAAGCTCCCCTTGAAAGTGTGTTCTTCCCACTAAATCCTCTACTCTGCTGTTGCCTCCAGCCACCACTTCCAGCTACATTCTCTTCATGGCTCAGGAGTCCTCCAGCAGAATGCTTGGAGAAGCTACCAGGACACATCTGGCTCTGCAGGCTGTGTGTTGGCTGAACACAAGCCTGGAAGCCCTGCTGCTCCTGCTTCCACACCCTGATCACCCCCTTAGGTTTTTAAGGAACTGAAAAGAGGTTTAGGAAATGGCAGAACTGATCCTACCTGCAGGGTGCTGCTGCAGGGCACTGGCCAAGTGTGTCCGTAAGCACTTCTGATGCACAGATATCCCTGCATCCCTCTTGTTGGTTCCATCTTGTTTGCCACCACAGTGCTACTTTAAATGTTCTGTTCACTTTCTGTTTCAAACACTTCAGTGTACTACCACTGACATTTTTCAATAGCCTCAGAAAACAAATGCTTTCCCAAAAATTACACTGTCTATAGGACTCCACTGAACCCATCTTGTAGGAAATATTGGAATTAATGACATCACATTTTTCAATCACCCAAAGTGAAAGCATTTAGGAGTGCCGAATTACTATAATTTCTTTAAATAATAAAATGGAAGTTTATGGTGATCCACCCTCAGTGATATATGTTTACTAGTCATTAGTCAAAGTTCTTTCTCTGGCTAATAAATAAGCAAAGTATTTCTTAAAACTGCAAGCTTTTCCCTCTCAGGAAAATTTTAATATAGAAATGGGACACCAGTGCTATAACCTGCTCTGACAGCCTGCCTTGCCTATGCCAACATCTATCTGAGGAGTGCTGTTAATTTTTCATATGGGCTGTTGATAGTTTAGGGCATTCCTCATCTCTACCTCTGTGCTCTGCCTTTCTGTCTGAGATTTCTACCCCTGCAGCAGCTGATAAAACAAACAAGTGCCTGTTCCTTCACCACTGCCTGCTGTAGCCAGCTGAAAATTTCCCCTCTCATTGGCTTATGCTAATATGTGTTGGATGAAGAACTGCAGCAGCTCAAGTCATTGGGGGACAGCTGTCTTAAGCAGCAACAGGATCCACCAGAACTCTTGTCAGCATAAAATAGCAAATACTTAGGCTCTGTGTCACACCAGGGCACTACTCTGGATGATTTGACAGCAGGAATCAAGTGGTCACAATAAGAGTGGCATCTGTTCATCCACACAGAGCGAAGGATCATCAGCTAGGCTGGATCCAGATACCTCACAGCTGTAAGGAAGAGAAACCTTTCTGAGGGCAGAACCTCACGAGCCACAGTAAAAACTGCTGGTGATAATGCACAGCCAGTGCCAGTGAATAAACCACATAAGGCCATAAAATGTCTTTAGCCTGGAGTCCCAAAAAACAGGATAGACACTAGAACTTTGCACAGATATTTGTCATTAAGAAAAAAAAACACTTTCCCCCACATGCAGTAACCATGGGTGCAACATGGCAAGGGGGCAGGAGAAGTTTTGTGCCATGGCTGCTCACTCCATTCCTTTCCTGCTGCCAGCTGCAGATGGGACAAAACAAACGAGTGACAAACACAGTAGGGGAAAAGGCTGTACTTGTATTTTGACAATGGCAACACAAATGCAAGGTTAATGACGACACGTACCAGAAACTGGGTTAGCAATTCCACGGCAGCCAAGCTATTAAAAAGTCAGCCATGCTTTACTGCCATCACCAGTCTAAGTCAGAAAAATATGAGACTTAGCAGCACCGTGGCTGCTAAGCTTTAACAGTCCTGCCTTGCCCATGTTTTGGAGAAATATCTACATAAACTATACAGTTTTAATGCAACATCATATTCTCATCAAAATGAAAACTACAGTCCTGTAATAACTGAGCCTTTCTTAATATATTCCATGGTGAAACGACATTAATTTAGTGTTATCATAGGAAATTTAAACACGTAACAGGCATGAAATTAAAAGCTGCAAATTTACAGCAGTAACTTAACCCCCACGCACATAATGAAGTTTCCTGTATTAGTGTGTATGCTTCTAGATTTACACTGCCGTATTTATGACCAGTAGGCAAATTACAGTTGCTGCAGGGAACATAACTTTGAATTTCTTGGCTGCCATGGCTTAAAATCTAGTCACAATGTTCCTCATTACTAAAAGTTTTCTACCCTCCTAACCAAATCGATTTTTTCCTTAGATATATATAGTAAGTTCTATATATTCATACAAGTACACACACACAT